TATATATATATATTTCAACCAGTCACATTTATTTATCTCTAATGTTTTTATACACAAAATATTAAATGTAAATGTCTACCTCGCAGCTTACTGTGGTGAACTATACCTTGTAGAACTAACTGACTAACTGATTTGTTAGATTTGAAACAGAAACCCAAATACTCCTCATGCAACCCTTTGAACACTTACCTGAAGTTCCTGAGGTCAGCCGTAAAGTGAATATCACAGTTCTTCTGAGTATTTCTCAGAAGTAAATAATTTTCCTGCTGGTGTAATCGTCATTGAATGTAGTCTTCTTGACTGCTGCATCTTTGTGCTGATGCTTAGAGTGCAGCCCACCTGATGTTCCACTGTAATCTTTCTGCCATCTGGTTGATGTCCTGCTGGACTTATGTCTCAGGGTTCTGATCCCAATCCAAACAACAACAGTTAACAAAATCCAGGAGCTTTGAAACATTAGTGTAGATAGAATGAAATATGTCAAGTCAGAGTCACAAAAGATTTGTAGTCTTCGAAAATATTTCCTTTCTCAATTTTGTGTATCTGTTCCTTTCTGGTATCACAGATGTGTAATCGTAATCTCTTCAATATAAAGGATTTCAGTAAGACCATTAGTTCACTGAACCAGTCTGTTCCTACATAACATAACAAAGCATAATGAAGGCTAATTGAACAAGAAAAATCCCATCACACAGTTGACATAATGTGAAAATTATTTTCTCAAACATCTGTTTTTCTGATTTGATACAGTAATTCTGTCTTTTTCAAAACCATGTTAGGCTATATCTACCGCTTACTTAGTTCTTGGTACAAACCTGCCATGTGGGGCTTAACATAATTACTCACAGCAGAGACAGCATGATGGATTTAACCAGATCTTATTTGAATGTATGTCAAATGCTCCCACACAAAAAAACACGTGTACGATTAAGTAATGGTAGTTTTTTAGTACATAATTCATGTACATTATTTGATGTAATATTGTATTGAATAAACATACTGAAGTAAAAATAATGCTATGAGTATATTATTGTTTTATAGGTCTTCAAATAGGTTATTTGTAAATTATATTAATATATTTGGCCAGCTCTGTTGTTGGAGTGATGCTTTCAAAGATATTTATTAATCCCTATTGTTAGTCTGAAATTTTAGTTTAGTTTTGTTTTATCCAGTTGTGTACTGGAGTTCTAAAGGGCTGATCTAAATTAAAATTAAAAAATGGTTTCTACAAAAAAAGTGGTTTGGCATGTGTTTGCGTGAACATTAAATCTTAATTTAAAACATATAGTTGGATCCTGTCATTAATAGTTTAATGTGCTGCTCTTTGCAATAAAGAGGACAGGAAATTAGATATTTAGGCCTACTTACAATTTCACATACTGATTTTCTGATATTTACAAATGTGCTCTGCTGAGATGATTGGGCCCCTGTTATGTAAATTATTAAATGAAGTGTGAAGAGCTGTATGTTTATCAAAATTATAGGACGGGGTCATTCTGGGGTTAAGAGAGTGACCGTGGGAGTTAACTCTTTCTGAACTCATAACAGTCATATGATTAAGCGATATACAGTATATCTCACTTGGTCCACCTTAAGAGCTCAGTCAGGCAGCCTTTTGCAGGGCGATCAGGGGGAGGCCCTCACAGACACATGCTTAGCGCTTTAAGGCGGACTGGAGTGAATAAAGCTCCGCTTAAAGGCACAAGCACGCTGAAATTACATTTTCAGAATGACTTCATCTTGCTCTGTTGCATACACAATTAAACGCAACGTATCTAAAATACATTAAATGCGTTCAAAATGATTTTGATGTCATTCTTTTCTATATATTTCTTTAATAACTTACTCTCATTAATAAAAAAACGTATTTTACAATGAAATCACAAGCAGTTGTTCCACAGAGAGCATGGAAAATAAACACATGGGCACAGGTGTACGTTATACCAACAGCATATCAATGGGCAGAGTAGTAGGTCTGTACTTTGTTACCTTGAAACCATTTAATATAAAGTGCCATAAACAGCGAGTGCGCGCACCCGTGCAAGCCGCTGACGGCCTCCGCGAGTGTTGCCATGTCCTCTAATTATAAGCGGGGTTTGATTATAGTTGATTATAAGTATGTCGCTGGTTGCATTTTTTGACTTATTTCCAATAACGACACTGTATGATAAAGTGACCAACCGAATAAATATCACCACCACAATAATAATAAATAAAATTAAACTAAGAAATAGATTAAGTGGAAAAATGGGCAAATCAAATAAGCATTTAATTATGATGCTGTCGATAGATATTCATCAATTTGATAATCTAAAGGTTAAAAAATAAGAAGTTTATTTTATTATTCAGTTCGGTGTACTGTATAATCAACATATGAATAATTTCTGTATTTACAATTTTTAAATCAAATAGGCTATTGCATTTTCACTTTGTCTACTTATTCATGGTTTGTTATAGTGTGATTATTATTATTATTATTATTTTATTATTACTTTTGTTCATCAAATTGTTTATTCAGTTTTTCTGTTTATCCTTGTGTTACTCATTAATAAACATATATCCCCCTATCAATATACTCCGTGAATTTCTTGCTTTTACACTACAAGCCTGGAGTTTTATTATTTCAAAAATGTAATTAATAATGCATACGAAATTATTTTTTTCGCAATGTGGCGAAATCTGGCAACACTATGCTCCGCGTTCATGGCATAGTGAATGTGTTTGCGGCAGCAGTGGAGCCGGAAGGGGGAGCTGCGAATCCGTCCCCGCCTTCACGAGCAGGACAGCCCGGGGTCTAGCGCTGTCACAGCAGGCCTACTTCCGTCAGCTCTATCGCAAACATTATTATTAAAAAATAACATTTACAGCCATCCAAGCCGTCCAAGCAGCGCGTTTGTGTATTTTTTAATACGGTAGGACATGTTTGCACCCGGCCGCAGCGGGGTTTAAACCGTTTCATTTATGTGTGTAGCAGAATAAGCACACGTCACGACATAAATCGCACTTAAATATGATCAAATGTGTTTGAGTGCAAAAATAACGGGAAATAGCAAAGCAAACGGACTTTACATGTGCACGGCCAGCTTTAGTTGAGATTTAGTGGGGTATTTGTTTTTTTGAACGGCGCGTTTTGGCGGAAATTGCTTTGGCTTTTATTTAAGGTAGCATGGGAAGATTAGCACGCGAGCTCATTTTAGCTAGACGGCTGCGCGCGCGTTGTCACATTTACTGCGGGAATAATGTCTAATATCACATAGCGGCATGCCATAAATGTGTTTAGCATCGTAATTCAGGTCCTTGCACCTTTTTGTGTGGGTTTTGAAGTTTCAGTTGACAAAGGTTAGCGAGTTAGCATTGTTGCTAGCATGTTTTCGAGGCAAAAGCATTGAGTGGTCCAGTGTGTGATTGACCATAAGCAGAGCTAGTTTTTAAAATCACATACAATCATAATTATTGTTTATGTCTGTTAATTAAAAAAGAGTCGTGTTTGATAATTTAGAATGAGGTTGGCTTTGTGAATTGAGAACAACCTCAGTGCAACTCATTTATTTTGCTCGAGGGGTCCAAAGTCCAGCAATGGGTAGAGGCTGTTTCTGTCTGAAAATGCTTTATACAGAGAGTTCTTCATCATCCCTCAATCACATGACACACCTTTTGCCTCCAGTGTATACAATGCTATCTAAACTGCATGCAGATTTCACATATTTATGGTTGGACTGGCTGCTGCTGTACTCTTCTAAAATGTAATCAGATCTGCACTGTGCAGAGATTGTATTGAATGCTTCGTATGCCAATGTAGAGCTAGCAGTGATGCAAAATATCTTATTACTCTTTTTCAGGTTCACTGCCCTTGAGTGCGCATAAGCTTTTGGTTATGTTCATGTAAATGGTTGTGAACTGTTAGTCTAGATGAGTCTAATGTGGTTTACAGTTTGATTGTACATAGATAATTTATGTAAACAAATTACCTGTCAAAATGTAGTCATTACGACTATATTATTTTATAGAATAATAATGAAATATTTGTCTATGGACCCTTTGCACAGACTGTGATGTTACATGTTTCCACAGTTATTAACATTGTAAATCTAGCAGTTTTTTTCTTTTTTAATGTAGTTTAAAAATATATATTTTTTAATGTAATCTACATTTATAAAACTATGCCTTTTGTTGTATTACCTTGGCAGTAAATGACAGAAAACTACTTAACGCTGCTGTGTGAGTGTTTCTACTGAGGGAGTGACATCAAATTTGTCATCTTTTCTCTTCTGACCATCAAAATCAATCTCTCGATATTTTTTTCTCTTTTGTAAAATCATAGAAATGCTATTGCGGATACTTTCTTTTGCTGTTGGAGCAAATGGGAATGCCAAAAATTATATTTGTTGTAGTTTCTGTTCATCAGCTATGACGACTTTTGAGAGCTCCATAAATGTGAAAAGGGCCCATAAGACTAATTTTAAGCATATACCTTTAGTTTAAAGAGAAACATAAATTCAGTTTGTGTCAAATTATGACTGGTAGTGTGTTCATATCATTTGTGATCCAGGCTCCTGTGCTGGGTGGATTGACCTGACATGAATGAGCCCATTGAAGGCGGTGCGATCTCGTTCGACGAGTATGTGCGGCAGAAGGCGCGCACTATACCTCAGCACCGCATGAAAGAGTTTCTGGAGTCGCTGGCCTCTAAAGGCCCGGAGGTGCTGCAGGAGTTCAGTCAGCAGACCAGCGGCACCACCACCACTATGGTGTACCAGCAAGGTGCCAACTGCATCTACACGGACAGCACAGAGGTGGCAGGATCATTGTTGGAGCTGGCATGTCCGGTAGGAAAAGAATCACTTTTCATTGTCGTTTTAGCTATGATTTAAAAAGCAAAAACTAGTTGTCACATTTCTGCTTCAACTCTGTGCAGGTGCAGGTGACATCTACACAGATCTCCCCCCAGCTGGCTGCAGCTGTGCATCAAGCATCTGAACAACAGATCCAAGTACAGGTTTGACTCACTTCTGTTTTTGTGTCTTATCTACAGGGCAATTATACAACATTTCCTGTGGTTGTTTTTTTAAAGGGGTAGTTTTCACAAAAAATGAAAATTGATACATTTATTCCAAACCCGTATGATTTTTTGTGTTCTGCAGAATTAAAAAATTATTATTTTTTTTTTTTGACGAATGTTGGTAACCAAACCTTTTTGGTGACCATTGACATCCAATGTATGGACAAAAACACAGAGATATTTCTCAAAATATCTTCTTTTGTGTCTCACTTTGTTTGGAATGACATGACATTTTGCACTGTGGGTTTAAGCATTGCATTTTCTAGGTATTCAAGTTTCCTGCTTT